AGGCCAACTCTTCAGACAGGGATTGGACTGGACTGTGGGACATAAAGTGATACTCGTGAGGAGTGTGCCTCTTAGCTCAAGTAGATACACGAGACTGAACAGGCAGCTTCTGTCAGGAGGTGAGCTGGGAAGGCAGAGAGGGTTAGGAGCTGGTTGAATGGACATGGGGAATCAGCGGTGGAAAGGAGGAGTGTGCTGTCACAGTATGGGGAGAGCAATCAGAGTCACACAACAATGTATGTATAAATTTTTGTATGGAAAAGAAAAATTAAAAAAAGAAGCGCTCTCTCCCTCTTCCACTTTCTCAGAACTGCCCAGGCTGAGAAAATTCCAGTGTGTTGTGGCTTCCTTGTTTGACTACAAGTTCCTGTAGGACCAAATCAATTGTGTGCTGTCCTACGAATGTCCCCAAAGTACATAATATCGTAGCTTACGTACATGAGGAGCTCATGAAATATTTGCTGACCGACTGAATACTGTTCAAATGTTCTCAATCATGAAATAAGATGCTTAGTGAAGAGCATATGGTATATGGGCATCAGATCCAAGAGTTTAGACTCTAATCTCAGCAGAACGTAATTCAGGCCTAGGAATTTACTTCTCCCCTCCAACTTCAGGTCTAAGGCCCTTGAAAGGCCCCAGATTAATGAGAGATCTGTGTGAGCTTCTCAGTCCTTTAGAAAAGAGATTCGGGGTTCTGAGAAGGTACCAGCTCTTCTGTTCCTAAGTACTCGAAAAGTGCATAGGTAATAATTCTGGGTTGAAGAGTAGGGTTTGACACTCAGAACTTCAGTTTACATTTCCTGAACATGGGGCAGAGAACGATACTCAATCTGTCATGAATACAAAGGAAAAAGCAGATAGAATGTCTCACCCTGGAGAAGCAATAGTATGGGGCCCACAAGCAGGAAAACGTGAGCAGGAACCAATTTCTTTAAAAAAGGGAAAATAAATAAGCTCCCAAGTTAAGAGAAGCAACTTTTCTCCTTACTTTGAAACAATAACAAATCCAATGAAGTCTCAAATACAGACTGCCTTTCAACCAAACGGCTAAACCGTTTAAACAGAGTGCTAGAGTTGTCGCCAATATCGACTAAATATGAAAAATATATTTTAAAAGACACTTGCATGAGCAATGTTAATCCACTTCTCGATGATTTTGGCTCGCTGCTGAGTTTTGAGTTCTTTGCCCCCCAGGATGGTGCTGACAACGCATTTGGTGAGGGTATTAAACTGAGAGATGGTAGCCCGGATCGTAGGAGCCAAATGTTTGTTTTCCTTCTTATCCCTTTGAGACCAGATGCAGCCCAGGCAGTGGTGAGGCACTACTTTCTTGAATAGTTGCTAGAACAAAAGAGGAATTGACTTTAAGGACAGCGCAGACATTTCACATGGCAAAGCACGTCATCTGGGTCATCTGTAAATTGGTATTTGATGAACGGATAAATAATCCTTTTCTACTTGATTTGCCTCACGGTGTTCATTTTAACAGACAAAAGTAAATAATTAATATAATAATTGATCAGAAAAGCCATATGTTCTTTTTAAATCTGCTCAACAGAGCAAATGGAACACAGTGGCCAAAAGAAATTAAAATAACCTAAAACATTTTGACTCTTCTGCCCTGCAAGGAAAGTCAGGTAAAACCTATACTAATAATCAATGATTTTGAAATCAAAACCACATCCATGGTGTGTCCCGGCCCTATGTTCACAAACTGTCTATAATGCATACAGGTGCTCCGCAACCACCTGAAAAGGGAGCCACAGACGGGCACAAGATGCAACATGCACGTTATTCAAAATGAAGAAAACTAGGAGCATACAAATGCAAAAACTATTCCACACCACAAGAAAGAGGAAGAAAAGAGGGTTTAAAGTCTGGTTTCCCAGCCTTTTCCTAGACGTAATAATCAATGAAAGTTTCCATCTTCTTCTGATGCTACCAGTTGTGGAATAACAACAACAAATTGTTGGGCAAATCAGATTCTGATTGGTACCACAATTCAATATAAGTTATATAGGGGTTTGTTTAAAAGCGAGAACACCAGGATTTACTTTAGACAGACTATCCAATTTACTTCTAATATCTTATTTGCATACTCATTAGATGGAAACTCTGCCACTTTCTATGCTGCTTTCTCAAAAGTGATAAATGCAAAAGAGCTACAACCATTGTGATAATTCATAATAGTCGTCTTTTCTTTAACTGTTATTTACCAACTAATGTTGAGCTAGGAAATATGACTCACGTAATCAAATATGCTCTGCTAACAAAAATATTCAAACTCTAAAAGCGTAGGAAGCACACATGGAAATGAGCTGCCAGATACAGCCACATGTGGATTCAGTGAATTAATTTTATCCTAATTTATACTTTGACCCCTTTACAATCCTCCAAATAAACAGTTGAGATCTTGAAATATTTATGAGTCTAAAGGGAGAGAAATACCCACGGAACAAGGTAGATTTGGTTTCACTAGGATTAGAATTCTTATTTCCCTCTGTGTCTTGAGCTCCAAGTAAAAAGCACCTTCATCCACAATTGCAAGAAGAGCTTATGCGTGAATTATTTATATGATTGATTCAAGTCACATCTTAAGTCTACATTTACAGGCAAAGCCTCTCTCAAGAATTCCAAAATACTTAAATCACATGACCCCACTGCCCTCCCCGGGCCACTAGCATTGTCACTTCCCCACGCTGTAATGGAAGGACATATGAGGTACAAAGACTGCACATACTGCATCCATATAGGTCAGCTGCTCCGCCACAAGATCTTCTGAGAAGAACGTGAATTCTGCTGACCCTCCACCCTCTGGTTCCTCTTCCTCCTCCGTGCTGAAGGAAATGGTGCTGGAAAGCCCATCTGTTCAAGTATGAAAAAAATTAGTATCTTGGTGCCACCATAGATGACCTTGCTTATAGAGTAAAACTGAACTTCCTTCATTTAGGAAGAGGAGGGTGAATCCTTCAGAAAACCAGTTGGGAGAGAACAGAAAGTACAATAAACCTGAGTGAAATGGAGGTCTTCATAGTCTCTGCATGTTCTTAGATTTTTTATTAAGCTCAGAGGCCTTGTGCAGTCACTTTGGCCTGGGACAGAGCCAGACCAGGCAAAATCCAGAGAAGCAAAGCAGGGATTATATCTAGGGGGTTGCCCACAAACCCTCTGATAGCTCCTGGATCAATCCAAGTAATTCTTAAACTTCAACCCCATAACTCTTAATTACGGGACCACTTACAACCAGGAACTGTGAAAGGCCTGGGCATGAGGGCAGGCTAAGTTTTGGGGGATAAGATGGGCCGTTTTGGTGTCAGAAACGCTAATAAAGTCCTAGCATTCTCAAAATGTTCAGAGTAGCTTTCAGCCTCTACCTGAAGTTAAGTCTGTGTGAGGCAGTGGTTAAGCACTAAGCTGCTAACTGAAAGGTTGGCGGTTCGAACCCAGCAGCTACTCCGTGGGAGAAAGATGTGGCAGTCTGCTTCTGTAAAGATTTACAGCCTTGCAAACCCTTTGGGGCAGCTCTACTCTGTCCTATAGGATGGCTATGAGTTGGAATCGACTCAACGGCAACAGGTTCGGTTTCTTGTTTTAAATTCAACTGAGCCTTACTATATATAAGGTCATCAATTAGCAAATTATATAGGACACAGCCTAAATAAGATGAGAAAAAATCACTCCTAGGAGTCTGAACAAAAAGCTGAAGGAATATGGAATAGAACCTTGAGTTTCCAGTTCGAAAGACTGTAGAATTGGGAGAAGTCTGCCTTGATTCCCCAGCCTCCCTTGTCTGAAACCTTTCCTGGGTTGTTTCCCAACATTATCTCCCTTCATACTCTTGGCTCTCTTTCCTGTCAAACCTATTCCCAGGGAAAAATCCAGTTGCTTCAGTTTTATCTTAGCATAAATTCAAATCAGTGTTTCACTACTCCCCCAGAATGTTTATATTTTTAAGGCTTTTCTCTCTTTCTTTGTAGAGTAAAAGACTTACAGGCATCTTGGAACAAGTTAGGGTGGCCTTTTCTTAGATTTCTAAGGGGAGAGGGTACTGAGGGTGACCCTACATCACTTCCCCTGTCGTGGCACCACGTGGGTACCTGCCTACTCTGGTGACAGGTTTGTGATCTAAGGAAGACCCCCTCATCCTTGAGTTAAAGACACAGACATCAATAGGGTTGGGTTGTGACCAGAGAAAGTAGGAGTGGATCACATCCTGCCTCCAGGTAAGGGCTTTGAACCAGTTCAGTCATGGCCAACAAAGTGAAATCAGAAGAGAACCTAATTTTTTCTATTTGAATGATCTGGAACTATAACCAGAATGGGGAAAATTACAGGTCGAAGCCTCAGAATAGGAGATCCAGGAGAGGTATACTGAGCCCTTTCAGGAACCTGATGCGTTGAGACTGGATTATTGGCAGGACTGTGGAGAGGGACACACATTCAAAGTGGTGCAGTGGATGCCATCTTTGAGCGGGGCAACGCTATTTCTGACTCTGCTCAAAATCCTATGGGCAAGAGATCTGGTTGCTATGCAACGATTATGTTGCCTTTGTTTTCTAAGTGGGAGGTTAGTTTTCTCGCAGGGCTTCGACCCATGATTTTTCCCACTCCGGTTATCATTCCAGTTGACCCAAAATTTAAAAACTCTGGTCTGTTCCCATTTTGCTTCCTCAGACATGACTGAACCGGGAAGAACCAGCTCAAAGCCCTCCAGGTACGGAACACAGCCCTACTCAAGCTAAAGGAAGCTAATAGCCCATCATATGGAGGACCTTAAGCCATCTGATTTCACCACTTTTCTTCCACACAACTCTGGTACTCTCTCATTCCGTGGAGGAATCAGAAATTTTAAAACCCAAACACAGGTTCAGAATGGGCCTCTCATTCCTCTTGCTAGTTATTAGGTATATTCTAATCATTCTGCAATGCAGAAGCTAATCCACTTTAGCCAAGGAAGGTACGTGCTAAAGCTTGATCTTCTCATTCACTCTTTTAAGCACACACACATAGTGGCCCTGCTATGTACTAGAATGTGGTTTTGCTTGAAGATTACATGGTCCTTTCCCTGCAGAGGTCTAGTCCATGCCTTCACTATTTCTGCTTTGACTCTCTCCCTAAGAAAAGTGAAAACTTTTGAAAAGCATACAGGAGAGCTAGGTAGAATTAGCCCATGGGTACGAATCTCCTAAAACTCAGTAATGACTCATAAAGTTAATAAGCAGAGAGTTTAGAGATTTTTTATTAAAATTTTCCAAACTCAGAAAAAATTCATTCTTGGATATTGCCTAAAAGTCTTCCCAAAGTCAGGCAGTCCCCCTCGCCCCTGCCACAGCCTGTCAAATGAGCGCTGCCTTCCAGTCCCTGGGTTGGAAACAGTGAATGACTGGTCCCACTGGTTCCCCAATTAGGCCCGGAGCCAGGGGCAGCCCCAGTGGGGGGAGTTGGGCTCCAACACAGACATAGCGTTTTCTACTCCAGCACAAAGACAGGCGGGGGTGGGGGTGCTGAAGGGAGCTGAGGGCTGGCAGCTGGAGGAGTGCCCCTGGTATTCAAACATTCCCAGCAGATGAAGTCATCTGAGATACAGAGAACTTGGCAACCAGCTCCTAAAGATACAATTGCATTTCCCCTCTTTAGTCCCCTAAGCATAAAAAATTCAACAGGTACTGTTTGGAATTTAAGGTTTTTTTCTTTGGCACTGATACAGCTTCCCTTATCGTTGCTGGGGAACCGTTTCCTCTTCTTCACTGGGGAAATCAGACACCACTTCAGGGAAATGCCTGTCGGAAGCTCCAAGTGGGTCATCCGCCATGGCAACCATCACCCAGCACACCAGTGAGGTATAAAACGTCATGCCGGGAGCCAGTCCTAACCTCTTTCTGGCTTCCTTCAAACCCTCATAGTTCTAAGCACCCCACGACCTGCAGTGATGGCCCTTTGTTCTTGAAAATAGGCAGTCGATTCCTCAAATAGGAAAAAACAGCCACAGAAACTTCCTTTAATGAGGCCATTAGGGACACTAAATGACTGCTATCTGCCCTGGCAGGAGATAGATTACAGTGATGCTTTCTATGAGGAAAGAGAAACACCTTTTCCAAGCTTGTGTGAGGGCAAGAGCAGAACTGGATTTAATTCCTTGCCTGCTGGATAGTGACCAAGCCATTTGTGGTGGATTTTCATTCGATAGAAGAAGCAAATCCAGCTAACAATGGCACTTGCTGGCAAGGGAAAGTAAAAAATCATCAAGGGGACCTCTTCTCTATGGTAATAATAGAAGCCTTGGAAGATTATGTAACTTCTCTGAGCCACAGTTTCCTCATCTGTAAAATGAAGGAGACCACTAAGTGGTCTTGAAAATCCCCTTCTCTGCTCTAAAACTCTAAGATTCTATGATTAATGCCTTGAGAATTTTGCACCCCAATCCTCCAGCAGCTTGACCAAGGTCTCCTATTCAACAAGGGCAACGGGAACAAGAATAGGAGGTCAGAGGTCACCATCTAGTTTTTTCCCTGCGAACAATCAAGTACTCACTGTCAGTTTCCACTTCTTGCTTCTGAAACTGCTCTAGGAGATTTTGTGCTCTTCTCTCTGGGTCAGAGCCCGGCATCATCCGTTTGAGATAATCCAGCAGTTTCTGCAAGCAAGGGAAATGAGGGGGCTCTCGGAAGTCTTCCGCGCACTGGTCAAGCCAGGCCCTCAGAATTGAGGCGATTGCACTGAGAAAGAGAAATGGAGAGTCACTGCACCCAACTGGCTGTGGAGACTCAAAGCAAGTCCTGGACACCACCTATTGCAGGCGGGCTCCAGGAAAACGTGGGCAGATGGTCAACAGATAATTCATCCAAGAGTTCCTGGCAATGTCAACGAAGTTAAAGCTGTTTAAAAAAAAAACCAAACTCATTGCCGTTGAGTCGATTCCAACTCATAATGACCCTATAGAACAGAGTAGAACTGCACCACAGGGTTTCCAAGGAGCACCTGGTGGATTCGAACTGCCAACCTTTTGGTTAGCAGCCGTAGCTCTTAACCACTACGCCACCAGGGTTTCCCAATGAAGTTAAGGCACTTGAAAACAAGCTGACTATACTTTACTATTTTAAGTGGTAGTCTTGAAGGGAGGGGCACGGGGGGAGCTGATAACGTTTAAGAAAAAAAAAAACCCTAAACTTTAGAAAAACCCATACAGGGCAGAAAAATACTTGCAGCAAAAGATTTATAATTCTTTGGGCAACTTCAAAGCAATCTATGCACAACTAGATTATGAGGTTTTCAATTCTGAATTCACTCAAATCAGAGACCACAAAATCCACCATACTAATACTTTAGAAAATAACTGACTGCCAGTAGGCCATAAATCCATCTGATGAAAGGAAGTGCCTGGGTTTAGAAAAGATAACTGCATAAATTTAATTTTTGAAGCTCATCAGGGTTTCAGCATGAGTACCAAAAATGTCCTTACAAAGTTATCCTTTTGTTTCTCAAATTACTAGAGGAGAATATGTTTCATGTTCGAGAAACAGTACAGATAGAGAAGTTAGGTCTTTGAAAGACAGCTATGTGGAGAAAAGCTTGATAAGCAAATCCATCTCAAAGGCGATTTCCCCTGACAGCTCTGAGGGTAACACACAGAGTCCATCTTGGGTGAAACAAGGTCCCAGAGCAAAGAAAGAGACAGGGTCACGTTACTAGTAACACAAGTGTGTTGTCTTTAGGTTAGGGGCAACCTCTCACTCAAGGGGCAAGAACAAAAAGCTGAAATGATAAAAAGGATAGAATGTTTTGAGCGCTATGATTCTATGCTTCATATTCAAAGAGGACTTTGCAGACACTCCTGGGTCAGGCATATGCTGAGCTGTCCCATAGAGAAGAACACAGTACTTTGCTGTCTCCACAGCCGAGGCATATTTGTTGATGATGGTGGCTGGGAGATGACAGGAACTATAAACTAATCAATGTATGTTTCATCAACAGAGATGTAACAGCTGATCTTAGCTAAAGACCTAGCTAGCTGACCAAAATTTTTCAGCAGAAAAAATTTTTTAGCAAATTTAAAATTATCGTCTGATTATACTTTGGAGCCCTGGTGGCCCAGCGGTTAAGAGTTTGGCTGCTAACCAAAAGGTCGGCAGTTCAAATCGACCAGCCGCTCCTTGGAAACCCTACGGGGTATGGGGCAGTTTTACTCTGTCCTATAACATCGCTATGAGTCGGAAATGACTCAAAGGCAACGGGTTTGGTTTTTGGATTTCACACCAAGAAGCTGGGCTATAACAGAGGCATAAATATGACGAAAGTTAATTTAACGCTAAACTTTTGGAACTGAAGAACAAACAGAAGCAAAATACATTTGTTCACTGTTTTTTGCTGCTGTGAACATTAAGGGATTCGGAACTATAATATTCATATATATACATCTAAAATAGATGATAGAAAACCATGAAGCAAAAGTTGAAATTAAAAGCCAGAGAAATAACTCAAAGCTAAGTCTTTAGATTAAATAAACAATAAACAAAGATTTCATTCCCTTCCAGAATGCTAGGATGCTAGAAGAAATTGGTCTGGGCTTCTGGAATTAGTTAAAAACATAAGTAAAATGAAATCAATGAACTTCTATTTCTGAGGACACACATACAGCATTCATTACTTTTCCTTTCTTCACCAAAACCAAATATCATGAATTGAAAAAGAAAATGATGATTGAACATTCTAATACTTGAGTTTTGTAAGGAAATGTGACTTTTCTATGGATGATTTCCCTTATTTCCTAGCAAACACTGAGCTCAGAACAATGGGGGGGATAGCCTAGAACATTGGAAAACCTGACGTTTATATACATCAGGCTGACTGTTACAACAGAACTGTTATACGCTTCTCAAAAGAGCAGTGAAGTAATCAATTAATACTGTTACTCATTACTTTCAAACCGGCTTTCTGAGTATTTTAGTGAGAGAATACTCTTCCATGACACTGAGAGAAAAATAGATATGGAGAGGTGAAGTGGTAACTCACAACACACAAAGAAGAATCAAAAAAAGAATCAGTCTAACAATGAGATACACAATCTAATGGCCCCTCAGCATTTCAAAATTTAAAAGAACACCCATAATTCAAAGAACCTATAATTCAAAACTATAGGCAAAAAACAGTGATACTAACATATTATTTACTCCTTTACAACCCATAATTGTTAGTTTTAAAATTACACAACTGATTAGTTATTGGGGAGGGAAAAAGTAAATATTACAAATGTGCATAAACTAAAAAAGCAAACTATCTGCTCCCGCTTCATTCTAATCCCATTCTCATGACCTGCTGTGAACAGTTTGGTGTATCTCCCTCTAGACTTTTCTGTGGATATATACAGGTGTGTGTGTGTGTGTGTATATATATACACATAATTTTAATTATATATATAATTTTAAATATACATATAATATGTATATACACATAAACATGTTTTTTCCACTGAACTCTATGTTATAGACACCTCTCCATTTACTACCTCTAAAAACCAGAACCAAACCCACTGCCAATTCTGACACATAGTGACCCTATAGGACAGAGCAGAACTACCCCATAGGGTTTCCAAGGCTGTAAATCTTTACAGAAGCAGACTGTCACATCTTCCTCCCTCAGAGCAGCTGGTAGGTTCAAACCACCGACCTTTTGGATTAGCAACCCAGTGCTTTAACCACTGCACCATCATGCTCTCATTACCTCTAGATCTACCTTATTGTTTCTTATGGTTATGCAGAGTTCCATTGCATGGACACGACATAATCAATGTCGGAATTCCTGTACTCATGGATAAGTATTTAAGTTATATTCAGGTTCTCACAATTACAATTACAAAAGATGTGTGTTTGTTCACATCTCTGGGTACAGTACTTGTGTGTTTCTGTAGGGCAGACTGTATAGAGCTTACTTCCATGGAAGGTGCAGCCTCTGAAGGTTTGGGGCAGTTCTAAGGAGAGATCTTAGTCCATACTGGACTAGGCCTTGGACACACATCTTGTTCTCCTCAGTTTGATGTTCGTAACTAGCTCTGGTAATCTGCTCACTTAACCTTTGTGACAGTGACCTTCCCACAGCTTAGCCTAAGGTTTTAAAAGTTCACCACAAACTCAAACACTGACTTAGGCAGAATAAAAGTATTTTCACACAAAAGAGGAATGAAGGGTGAAGAAGGAGGGGAAAAAAAAAAACCACCTACACAAACAGCACAATACAGACCCCTGCCCTCCTATCAGCCGAGTGTTTATGGGCACGCCAGGGCCTTTCTGGAAAGGCCTGGACATGTGCCCAGAGCTCACAGTGGCTTTATGTTTGCCAGTCCTGGGAAGAAACTTTTCGTTCTTGATAGACTAAGCAGAAGATACAAATGGGAAACTTTTAAAATTTCAAAAAGGAAAGCAAAATCACAAAACCATGATAGCAAAAACCATGACAGAGAAAACTGTGACTGGCCGATGGCTTTCCTATCTTGCCCTTCCTGGTTCTGTCCCCAAGATCTAGCCCACATCGTAGCCAGGACAGAGGGAGGATGTAAAGAATCTTACTACTGAAGGGGAATCCTGGTCATGAATTTACAGGAAAGGTGTGACTGTTAAAGACTAGAGAAGCTACCTGGCTGTGTGCACAGAACAAAGGAGGAGGAGGCCTGGAGGAGGAAAACCTGATTCCTCATGCTGGCTATGTCACCTGTCAATCAAGGGGGCAAGGGAACTCCACTGACCCTCACCTGTCTTCATCTACCTGACAATGATCATTTATGATTTCAAATGACATAATATCAATAGAGACATTTTGAGATATTGGGAGAAAAACCTAATTTTTTTTAGCAATCTTACAACTACTTGTCATAAGTCACCGAAGGAAGGGATTGAAAAAGGTAAAATGGCTCAGTAAAAATCAATGAGCACTCATGGAAATCAACTCAAAGAACTTGCCACATTATCACACAAAGGGTGTCATAGAATATAACCTATGACAGAATACACATGGCTCCAGACATGAACAAACACTGCACATACGGCATGCGCCACACAGTCACGCACACACAGCCTGTCCCTACTCCACTGTCCCATCTCCCAGGCATCCTCCCTGGGACAGGTACTGTGCAAATGCAGGGGTACTTTATTACACAGTCTGTAATAAAAGCTGTAAGAACTGACTCTTGAATGACTTGTAAAGACTGAAAAAGTAAATTCCAAAACAAAATGGAAAGATTAAGACTGTGATGTCATCTAAATACAGGGGAAAAGCCAGTACATGATTTCCTTTTTGAAAGTAATGTCTGGTGGGTTATAAAGAAAAACTCCTCACTCCCAACGAGGGCTGCATCTAAGTAAGCAGGTTGGGTAGGTGGCCGTGGGGCGGGGGCCCAAAAGTGACAGCAGAGAAGAAAACTAGGATTGTATTTTCTACCTCAGGCATTCTTGGCAACTTTGTGCAAAACTTTGCAATGTGTGAGCCTTTTCCAATTCACTGTGATGATTTGCAAGAGAAGGAAGACATACTCATTGTCAATGTGTGGAACTGACTGATGGCAGCTTCTAAGACTTTCCTTCTAAGAAAACAGACCCCTGGGTAGAATTAATTCATTAATTACACTAATATTTACTGAGTACTCTTTATTTTCCAGATTCACAAAAATGAAGTATTTGTGTGATGAGTATCACAACAACAGAAGAGCCCAGGGTCTCGTGGGAGCATT